AATATCGAATAATTACCTAAAAACCGTAGAAACCAAACAAACGACACCCTGAAATAGTTGCTCTAGCATGAAGCAAGATTAAGAATTTCAACGAGAAATTAAGATCAATTTTTCGAATACACCGGAAAGGGTTTCGCTGTTGATGGAATTGGCGGACTATCATGACGGAGTAGACCTCTACAAAAGCCTTGTAAAATCTTTTAAAATTTTTTTTATTATGTAACCAAAATTATATCCACTTTCGGCTCCAAGTAACTTTGCGTAAAATTTTGCGTTTTTCTTTGATATTTTCCCTAAAACTTTTATGACGTGTTCGCCGAGACCTTGCACACTTTCAAAATCTGCCAACTCACCAACCTTAAGTAGTTTCCTTTTGGACTTAGAGGTCGTGTTAATCTAATATAGCACAGTGCTTTTATAAGCATACACTAAGACCTTTTAAGCTAACTGCTCATTGTTGATAAGCGTTCAAAATAGCTGTTAGAATCTACATACACAAGTACACGTATATATTTATATATATATATATATATACCAGTATATGTATTTATATGTATTTATATAGGAACACTTATAAGAAATGTATAACTTTTTGCATTTTGCTTAACTACTGTGTAAACATATTGAATCTGGGTACTTCCAAGTGAACTGCATTGCTTGCAAGATAAGCGCTGATAATCTAGACTGCCTCTGTACGACGAAGAGCATGCCAAAGCGGCAAAACACTTAGTTGACTAAAGTAACTCTTCAGTGTGAGCACAAAATCCTTCACTTGAATACGGTAAATATCGCATACGCTATGCCACTGAAGTGGCCATGCACGTGCATAAGCTTTTCGATGGTTGACTTCCGAGGGGACTGCGCCAAGTGCCACTTTTCTGGGCGTTGGAGTGGTGACACAACGCTTGGAGCTGCCGGTTCTCGAATCGAACAGCGCCATATGCGCAACACCCTCAACCATACATTTCAGGCGAGGATGATGAGACAAGCGATGGTGACATCATGCCACTAGCCAACGACTGCAGCTTAACTAATGCGCTCGCGTATATACAATTAAATAGCGAATGTCAAACAAACAGACTATAAACGGCAGTTTACTTTGATTCCATGGCGCACGCACCACGCGTTCCGTTGCCCTTCGTGTCCATTGCGTTGCACATACTTGCCCTTCCACCCGCGACTCCATTAGTTTTAGTATTCGCATGCGGACCCTGCTTTGTCTTCTTCATTGTTGGCGTTAATTGAATTCCTTGCTGGCTAGTATGTCGCAGCTGTTTTGATAGCCAGCGCTATCATACACACAGACATACACGCACACGCACATGCAATTAGCACATTTGTTGCTACAAATGCTAGACAAATAGGGCGCCCGGCATGGGTGCCTAGAATGATGGTACATTGTTTATGGCACAGTTCGCACACACGTGTGCAATTTACGAGCGATTGCCGCATTAATCCTGCCACCAACGGACCGGGCATGCTGCTGTGGCACTGCTGCCGGATCGGAGGCAAGTCAGTGCGGCCAGAGCGTGCATGCGACAAACAAAGAAGCTGCTCAAACACATTTGTTGCGGAGGCGCAGTGCAGGTGGTGCGGGGGATTTGAAACAAGTTGAATGTAAACATAATCTGTCGGCGTCTATGTCGCCGCCATTCAGGGGAGGATCGTTAAAGTGGCGTAAATTATACCATCACATCGGCAATGAATCAATGAATGAGGCGTTGACATCGATGTGCGTCTCGGCGCAAACACAACATTAATTAAGCGACAACGCTGGTGGACAAATAACTGGAGTAAAATCAACAACTAGTTAAAGTGAATAATAACATATCACGTATCTATATTTGTATGTATATATGTATGTACATATACATATATACATGATGGACAGTGGTGGAGCACAGCAGCAAGCTCGATAGCCCAGCACGACTTCTAAGCAAACAAAATCTCTTGAAATCGCTGCGCTGCATTTATGCCGTTAGAAATACTTGTCATAAAATTGAGATACGAATAGTTGTTTACACTCCGAAATATATAATATAATATCGTGCCAGCATGCTTTTTGGACGTTTAGACATGGTGATTTTCAGTTTTGCCTTAAAAGAGGTGACTAGGTTATTGCAAACACGCAGAGAGAAGTTAATACTGAGATGGATGATTAATATTTTCATGAGCTTTGAAACCGTGGAAAGCTTTATAGTTCAATTGATGATCGCGAGAGCTTCGAATCTGATGTTAGCTTTAAGCTTCGATTGGGCATAACTAGAGCTTTGAAACTGATGAAAACATTAAGCTCCAAATGTAGGTCTCAAAAGCTTTGAAACCGATTTGTTAGCTTTAAGCTTCGATTGGGCATAACTAGAGCTTTGAAACTGATGAAAACATTAAGTTCCAAATGTAGGTATCAAAAGCTTTGAAACCGATATAAGTTTTAAGCTTCAAATGATGATCTCAAGATCTTCGAAGCTGATAAAAGCTTTAAGCTTCAAATGATGATCTTAAGAGCCTTAAAAAATGTTGTGAACTTTATGCTCCAAAAGTATAAATTTATTTCAAATATATTACATATTAAAGCTTCTGTTTATAATCTGATCAAGTTTCTCACATTGACGACGAGCGATGTTATTTGTTCTTTAAATAGTTTAGATAGTCTATTTAATAGCAAAGTTATATAGATTAGCTACAAAATTGGGTACGCGCAAAGATCTTTGATACAATGTTCTACTCGTACTATTCTTACAATACTAAAACCTTACAGAAAAAGTTGTCAGTTAGCAGCTACAGCTACAGCTTCAATGACAGTACTTCTGATGATACTTCCAAAATCCAAATCTGAAAGAAGAACTGCAAAGCAACCTGGAAGACATCGCTTTTTCATATAATGTGTACTGAGGCCCTTTTCCAAAAGTCTGCTTATATCATCTGATGAAAAATTTTGAATGGTTACATTTTTGACCAAAATATTTGAAATATTGTTTTTAGTTTCATCTTCTCCAGCTTCTTCTCTGGATATGAGCTCAAAAATATTGAAGAAGACCCAAGCAGTTATTAAAAGCAGACACTTACATTTATTGGCTCTGAGCATGGGAAATTGACTTTCGAAAGCAGTATCTACCACTCACTCCAGCCATTTTGCGGTACGCCCCTTTCGATTTAATAGCGGATCACATTAACGATGCGTTAAATGTTTATGCAAATGTTTGCGATAAGCGGAGCGAAATGACACCCACACACACACACATACGAGTACACTCGCACACATACAAAAATGATTGTGGAGCGATGTCCATTAGGATATTTACCACAATTATTCCCCAAAGAGCAACAACTGGAGTTTCAGTAGTGATGCCACAGTCACTTGGGAAACGCACACATACGAGTATACATTAGTCTGCGCATTTGTAGGAATCTGCATTAGACAGACATGCCTCAAGGCAGCCCCACTGCTGCTGTCTGTTGTGGATGTGACAAGTTGCTCCAGCAGCTCCGCGGAGTGAGCAGCGGAACAGCAGTATTGAATATGATTTGAGCGATATGTCAATAAACATGCACGCACTAGTGTGTATGTGTGTGTGTGAAAATGTACCGCTTCACCACTCAAGCTTATCTAGTCAGAAGTACATATGAACACATGTAATGCCATTGAAATGAACAAGTGGTCCCAATAATTTCCTTATCACTTTAACTACGCTCGGCTCTTAGCTTATCTCGTTTGCGCGAAGTGTGGGGGCGTCTACATGCAGTGGCTGTCAAGTGCATCTGGTGGCAAGCGCAATGATTAAGGCGACACTCAGCGCTAATATCCCCGCTGTGCCGAGTGTGAATTTTCCAATTTCGATGATTCGACAAGTTTTCATTGAGAACTGCAGACGCTACGAATTGTGATGTGGAATTGATTTTCAAGTCTATTTATTGACGTCACAAATTAAATTGATTACCCAATGTTTGTACAAGTAGTAGCAATTTCGTTATCGGCATTATTTGAGAAGACACTTTCGCATTATGTAACAAGCTCAGCGCAATAAAATGGCATTTTCACCTGAGAGTATTGCAGCACGCTTAAGTTTAGTTTTGCAGTGATTTCGAGTAATTATCTTAGGAAGAAAGGGGAAAATTAACTCATGGAAACCAATCTAGTTATAGTGACATTTAGCCAAATTCAATTTTTAACAATTAAATTAAATAATTATGGAAATAATACTTCAAACTTGCCGTACAGTAATAAAGCTATGAGCTTATTTTTACTGTTTAACCGAGCATTTTAAATTATATTTCATAGCGTGTCATTTCAGACTTTCAACTGGAACTGCCATCATGGAGTCTATAAGTTCGGTCTGCGATGCAGCCAAAACAATTTTATCGATTTCCATCCGATAAATTCCATCGATTTTTTTGTTTTGTTAAACTTGTAGTCTAGATTTGGTTTAAAGTTCACTTACGAGCTCTAAGTCCACTATAATAAGAAACGGTAGTAAGTTCATGAATTAGCTTTGCATAAGTTTTAATTGAACAGTTCTAGAACTTCCCGAATTATTAATACAGAGCCTGGAATTTTCAGTATACATGCAATATATATGCAAGAGGAAATTCGTTTTCGAATTGGGTTAGGGTTGGTAAATACAGCTAGTATGGAATAGAGGTACACTTAGTCAACCGATTGTTGATAATGTTTATATTTTGTCATACTCTAAAACGTTAGGAACTTTTGTTTTTGTGAACATGAGTGCCATGATCTATATTAGCTTCCCCTAACGACGATAGCTGTGAAGTCGTTAACTTTAGAAAACTCCTCAGCTATCCTGGAGTAGTTAGATCGTAATTATAAAACGTTTTCTCTACAAGAGGATTTCTAATACCATATGAGTGAAATATCATATTGCTTTTCCAAACTTAAAAATAATATATTACCGCTCGGCGTTAGATCTCAAATTTTACTGCGGAATTTTATACTGACTTTAAAGTCTAAAGAACTGTTTTCACAACATTTGCCATATACTTCAATATACCGCCATTAAGTTCGTACACCACCAGCTTACGTGAGTATAACTGTTAAATAGTCGATGGTTCAAACGTGGGTCGGTAAGTATCCCTTCGCGGCTGAGTGGAGAATGTAGAGCGTTGTTTTAAAATTTGTGTGGTGAAGTATTGTAGAGTGGTGCCATCATCTTCAACATTATTATGTAGTGACACCCAGTTTAGCTTAACATCACCACATATGTACACTGTATCCACCACTTCTGGTCGCATGTGATACCTGAATTCGAGCAGAAACTTGCCATTTAAATACACCTCGTAAGCGTTTTCCATGCACACAATAGCCAAACGAAATATTTTACCCGGTAGGAATTCTGTATCTATATCCGAGCGTTCTTCTGGTGACCATGCGCCATCGTACCAAGCGCAGCGTACAATTTGCGCTTTAGATATGTTTTCTTGTTTTTTAATAAAGCACGAAGCGAAATGGAAGGCGATGATTGGATGTGGCCAAAAATAAACGCCATTTTGTAAGTTTATATAAAATGACATTGGTAATAACTTGACACGTCCCTCGATTTTGAGAAAATGACCCGGCTTCATAATATTCTTCGGTAAGCTACCCACATAGGGTGCCGTAATTTCAGCCTGCCAACGCAAGTCTTTCAATACCATGGTGAATCGCCAACCTATATCTCTTCTGGTCAGCTGAGCATAACCAGACCTAGTCGAAGGCAGCGACCCGAGACCACTTTTGACTGTTACTTCCACAGGTCGTATTGTATCGATGCGATCGGGATACGTGGCGACCTCTGTTTGCGTCACTGTGACATCTGTGACCTCACCTATCACCACCACAGAGCTAATCAAGTGATATGGTATGCAATGTAGGTATGAGGAGAAATGGAAACCGTTCACCGATATGAGAAAGGCGGTTTCGGTGATGAGAAATTGCATGAGGAATCTGGTGCCACGTCGCAGTGTGAATGGTATTGCTGAGGTGTTCTGCTCAACTTGCCAACGCTTGTTGATCCGACTGTTACGCACGATATAATTCTGCGGTAGACGCGCATTAAGGTGCAACGCCACGTCACCGGCGGCATTATCCACTAGAAAATTAATGAAGAAACTGCAATCGTTAAAGAAATTATAACGCTTTTCTCACAAAGAAATGGAACTGCTTCGACACCTACCGTTCACAAGTTAACAGTATTTTACCAGTAACTCTAAAGCAAATACCCTCTTTGAGTATTCCAAGCTCATGCGTTCGATACACCGGCTCTAAGTCGTCTACAACATAATCGAATTCGTTCTACTAAGATTAAAAAGATGTTCAGTTATTTTATATGTGTAAATAAAAATATTTTACTTCAAGAGTCGATCGTTTCGTAAAAGTATAAGTATTTCCCATTGTAACAACAACTGACAGGCGAGCGATGAGAGAGTCGATAGAACTTCCAGTGCCATTGCAAAATGTTAAGTTTCACGAAAGGCATTGAAAATCGATTTTTATTATTAATATGAATTAATGTCAAAAAATATTGACATTTAAAGATTAGTTTTGAATATGCCTAATATTGTAATTTGTTTGAACACCAAACAGGTGAACTTGAAACCAAATTTAATATTCAATACCTTAGGCGTGAATGGCAAGAACAGTTTTCCAAATCCTCGTACGAACACTCCAGCGAGAGAACAACGACCATTGACGAGACCAGCTGTATCCGTTACAATTCTATTAAGTTGACTAATACCGCCAAATAATATTTGCATTGTCTTGCAAAAGGAGAACGGTAAAAAAAGAAGTAATGAGAGATTTTCATCTTGTCATCTTTCAGAAAACCCCAGCAGTAAACCTACGTATTCTACTTAACGAAAGAATATCCTTAGATCGATTCACCTCAGACTTTAAGGAACTTGGGATCACGCAATGGTCTGGCACCCACTTGAATATCGAATACATTTCGATAGCTATAGCTGTTTTCTTGAAAGTGGTGCATATAGAAGCAGTGGATCCACTTTCTTGGCAGCCATGTCTGTTTTAAAAATCGATACTGAAGTCTAAAGCTGTCAACGAGTCCAGTAGACTCTGCCCGCAATCTTCCTATTGCGTCTGTAACCATCCGTGAAGAAGCTCTGTACAACCACACATCCTTCGTTTGTATGATTATAGAGAGAACGTCGCCTGTTAGTAATTCGGACACGAAACAACCACAATTCGCGGGAATATCGGCGTTGCCACAATGAAAACCTAAAGAAAACGCAAACTCCCACCTACTTAGCGCTGTTTGTCGCATTTTTATGTATCTGTTAGGTGTTCACTTTTCTTGCCTTTGAAAAAATTGAGTTCATCTATGTATATTAAATATTTGTCTTGTATAAATATCTGAGGTCTTAAAATAGGTAATCTCAACGGTATCGTACTTTCACAGTATTCTAGAGTTCATAACTGTTTTCGTAGGAAGCCAATTTTCCTAGAGGGAAATCACGTTTCACTGCTTTTGCGCTACTAGCACGAGTGTGATTAAATAGTGACAACTCTAAGGTATTTATGTTTTCATTTAGCAGAGACACAAACCATTACATTTTTGATTCAGTTTGTACACTCTGTTATCGTTTCCGTTATGTTCATAATTTGTTTCAACAGTGTGTTATAAAATGTGTGATTATTTATGTAATGTGAAAAGTTAATGGAACACTGTGCGTCTTAAGCATATACATTCATATATGATATATAAAATTAATGAAAATATATAATGCATAAATGATTAAAACGATATTATTCCTTTTAAATATTCGTTAGAGTATTTTTTTTTTATTTTCCTCATTTAAAGCATTAATTTTTACAAAGAAAATAATACGTAAATTTTTACAATTTTCCATATTTCAGCGCATCTCAAGCAAATGCAGTTTATTTATTAGTACATAGTGTATATAAATTGGTAAATAGCATAAATATTGAGGACTAACAATTAGAAATACAACAGATATATATATATATATATGTAGAGCATATAAGGTTTTCAATCGGTTTGTAATTTTTAAAATTTATTCTTTTTTCTTATTTTAGATTTCAGTTAGAGTAAAACATCACAAGTCCATTAAGGTAACCTTATGTTTGAAGCACGAAAATTTCAAAAATACATTATTGAATTTGAGTATATACATACATACATACATACATACATACATACATATGTAAGGGCTCTATACTAACCGACGCCTTCATTGACTGGCCATTCGACTAATACATTGACTAAGTTAATTATTGTCTCAGAAAATTAATTTTGACATCAGTTAGATTTGGGAATATTTAAAAAAATATATTGTTAATGTCTTTTATTCAAGATTCAAATAACAGTAATATCAAACACTAAAAAACTTGCAACAATTTGTGTCTTAGCAAAGTTTCATTATTTTATACAATATACTATATACTAATCTTTGATTTAGTGTAGGTGTTTCGGATTTGTCTGTTAACTAAACTACTAAACAATAGTAAAAAGAACTTTACAGAGAGATTATACAAATATACAATTGCAAAAAGCTAAAAAAAAAAAACAAAACTTAAAAATTAAAAAATCTATTCGCACATCCATATCAAATATGGCTTCTTCGGTTCTGCTCCGACGACACATGCTCTACACCTTTCCCATTTAGGTGCTCAGGGCCTATGAGTTACCGCAAACCGCACTGCGTTGCTTAAAAGCAATTCAGAGTTCTCGTTTTAAATTGTATGCGTACGCAACCTTATTAAACACAGTCACTTTCACTTTAATACCCTTCTTTCTCAACCATACACAGCACTTTTTATTATTAATATCTGAATAGCGGATTTGTGTAAATGCGTCTCGTGCCCTTTGGCGACAAGTTAGTGAGCAGCACAACACTGCGCAATTTAATATCACCCTGTATATATACCGTATCCACCACATCCGGTTTGATGCGGTATGTGAAGTCGGTTATGAGCTTCTCATTCAAGTACACCTCGAATGCATTCTCCGCGCACACGATAGCCAAACGAAATGTTTTGCCCGGCCGAAAGTCCGTGTCCAATTCGGAGCGTTCCTCATCTGCCCAAGCGCCATTATACCAAGCATTTCGACACACAATCGCCTTGCCTATGGTGCCGCTCTGTTTCGAGAAGCGCGGGTTAAAGTGAAATGCGATAATCGGATGTGGCCAATAGTTTTGGCCCTTCTGTAGGTTGATGTAGAACGACTGCGGCAGCAATTTCACACGCCCCACTATCTGCAGACAGCGTCCCACTTTGAGCGAGTCAGCCGGCAGCAGACCATAGTAAGGCAGTGGTATGCCACAAGCAATGTTTTTCATTAAGGCAATCGAACTCTTTATGCCCAGCGGTGCCCAATCCAAATTCGAACTGTCCACCTCGTCGTACGGCATTAGCGCCGTCTTATCGCCATTGGGCTGTTCATCGAAAATGTCCAGCGCTGTGCGTATTTCTTTGGGGTTAAAGCCGGGTATATGCTCCGGATAGCACTCCACCTCACCGCGCTCCATGCTCACGTTCTCCACATCGCCTTTCACCTCTATCGTCGACACCGATGTGTAGGGCAAGCGATGCGCATACTTGGCGAAATGTATGCCATTCACTGAGATCAGATAATCGCTATCGGTTATGAAGATCTGTATGGCGAATTTGCTGCCGCGATGCAGTGAGAATGGCAGTGCTGATGAGACCTCTTCCTTGCCCCATACGCCTTTCGCTTTCGTGTTGCGCACGATATAGTTTTGCGGCAGCCGTGGATTGATGTGCAGCGCGACGTCACGTGTTGAGTTCTCAATAACGAAATTTATGGAAAATCTGTAATGACATACATATGTGGGTATGAATGTAGGTTGACTGATTGCTGTTAGCGCTTGTGCTAAGCACTTACCGCTCGCAGTTAAGCAAAATGCTACCGGTCACTGTGAAGCTGATGCCCTCCTTGAGGGTGCCGATCTTTTCGTTCTGGTATACGGGCAATGGTTCCACATAGTCGTAAAAGGAGCTCTGCAATTGAATAAAATAATAAATATGTGAATCCGCGTCGAAGACTTTAATTAAGTATAATTAATATGTTTTTAAGTTTAAAATCAATTGTCAACATGCATTTCGATAGTTTAGAATCAGACGAAACATAACGACTAACAGAAGTAAAACAACCAATTGTTTAGTTTTCTAAGTTAAAAGAAATTATTTTATTTTCTTTTTTTTTGACATTCGACATTCAAATTTGTATTGATTTTTGTATTCTACATGGGGAATTCGAGAAATTCTGACTACAGAAGACTCAAGCTGAATATTTTTAACTTCCCGCTAAGAAAATTGAAAATTTTCTAAAAATCGGGAAGATATTGGTTTCACCCCATTTTGCAAAAATCGAGTTCTCAACAGATCTCGACATTTTGAGGGTCGAGGAAGCTTCCCCGAACATTTCTACGATGATGTCCGAATGTCTGTATGTATGTGTGGATGTATGTGTGTGTGTGTGGATGTATGTGACCCTCTTATAACTTTTAAACGGCTCAACCGATTTGAATAAACTAAACGGCATTCCAAAGGGTTTCATTGCACTTGAATTTCGTGTGAGTTTGGACCCAATCGGACCAGTAGATTTTGAGAAATCTCAAAAATAAAAATTTTGAAAAATCGTTTTTTTCGAATTTCTTCCAAACGACTTGACCGATCGACACCAATCAGTTCTAAACCTTGAAAAAACACATCGTTTGCCGCAAACCGGGTCAAAATCGGTTGATTTACTTGCGAGATATCGAAAACGAAAAATTTCGAAGACCTCAAAAGCAGTGAAAAAAGCGAAATTTGAACGTTAGCGTATGAAATTAGCGGGAAGTTCCAGGGATGGCCCTTGAGGCCAACCGTTTTCCACATTTTTTTTATAATTTAGTTGATATCATTTTTGTTTTTACAAGCGCTGATTTCAACTCTAGGCTACAGTCGCAATAGCTAATAGAACAGCCAATCTATCGCTGTACAGAGGTATTCCAGATTAATGAAGTTCAGGTAGAAATTGCTCAGCTACAGAACATGCCTAGCTAGATATGCTAGATCTTTTTTAGCTAATAAGAAATCGAGAATTTTGAAGAGAAGCAACCCGACTGTTTTGGTAGTTGTTGAAAGAACAGCCTCTATAAAAAAGAACGCTAGGCTCATTTCCCACTAAAACCGTTTCATATTATGGTAAATTTGTTAGCAATTTCCATTCATGAACGCGTCTATTCATGCTAGTTATGCTGAAATTTTTTTTCTTCCCACTTCTCAAATTGCATAGCTTCCCTAACTTAATTACGCTGGTATACCTATCAATTTAATTCGACTGTTAAACTTAACTTTCGCTTAGAATCTCGGGTTGATTTGGAAGTTATGATTAGGGATACAAATGAAAAGAGTAATACTTAGTCAACCGAATAGATCTTTGTCATATTTAAAGCTCAGAATAGTTACTCTTACTGTCTAATCGATATTTTCTATACTAAGAACAACAGGCTGATACAACCTAATGAAACCAAGCGACGATTAAAGAGAAGTGAAGAGAAATAAAATTCATCAAAAAGTTACGCTGCTCCTACTTTGGAAGAAACTTCAGTTCGGGCAGTCGGTACACTTTTGTAACTGATAGTTATTTATGCTTCTATATATTACGACCAGATATAAATACTTGATTCATATTATTTCCTAAAAGTTTTTGAAGCCACATGAAATTTCTCAAAACCTACTATCATTCTAAACGAGATGCAAAAGCGCCTTATATATATCAAAAAGGGTAGATATTTTAACATGGGAACCCGTCATTAATTCCAACTTTTTTCACTTTTTAGGTATGTTTGTATAAAATATAAATTTTGTATTATACCCTATTAAGGTTGCCACGATGTTTGTAACAGCCAAAAGAAAACGTTGGAGACGTGAACTAGTCCCTCACTAGTTTTTGAGATATTAGTCTGAAATTGTACACATCTCTTTCTCACCAATAGACTGCTCATTTGTGGGAATCGTCGATATCAGACAACTATAGCATATAGCTGTCATATAAACTGAACAATCGGAATCAAGTCTTCTGCATTTGACGCGTTAACTTTAAGAAATTTCGCAGATATTATTATCCAAGGCATCGCTATAATTTCTGAAGAAATTGTTCACATCGCACGACTATAGCATGTAGTTGCCATACAAACTGAAAGATCCAAAACAGAATAAAGATCTTTCTACATTTTTTTATGCTAAACAACAATGCACATGTGAAGGGTGTTATAGCTTCGGTGCAGCCGAAGTTAATATTTTTTCTTATTTTCATAATAAGTAAATGAAATATATTCGATTTATTAAAAAACTCAAATGACAGATTTCGGCACTCGCTAACAGTATGTGAATAATGAACGAAGTCAAAAACATTTCATCAGCGTACAAAAATTTCGGTCTGACCCTGTAGACACCCAATTTGGTGTGTCAATTACTTTGTGTTATATATACATAAATGTGTACATATATATGTAATTTTTGTGTACGAATCTGTGTAAATATGTATGTACTATGTACATTCAATTGTTTTTGTACTCTTTGTGTCAATGTTTTGCAACTTTTTATAATAAATACTAACACCACACAATGGCATACCTTTATTTGGGTGTATGTATGTATGTAAACATCTAAATATATTCATAATAACAACAACTGTAATTTAATGAAGCGTCTGCGGGCATTCCATGTATAAATATGTGTTTTGGGAAATTTTACTAACACGCTAATGTTAACTAATTGAACTTTTGTTAATAGACAGCCGGTGCAAAAACAAAATACAAAAAGGTGTATACATGTATGAATGTATGTATTTATATATGAATACATATAGATTGAAACGTTGTGGAAAATGACAACTGATTATTATATATAATTGTGGAATTATTTAGTGCCTCAAATATTGATTAGAAATGTGTTCTTTTGAATGTATAGCAATACACATAAATGTAAACACATACACGATTATTATCAAAATAACATTATTTAATTAAAGAAATTTTTAGCGTCATTGAAATTCTGGCGAAACAAGAACAAATGTTAAACTCGGTTGCACCGAAGCTATAATACCCTTCACAAATACAAAAAATGCTTTCGAAGAACTAGATTTCGATTTGTATGACAGCTATATGCTATAGTGATTCGATCTGAACAATTTCTTCGGTGATTCGATTATTGCTTTAGATAATAATTCGTTCTAAATTTCATGAAGATATCTCGTCAAATAAAAAAGTTTTCCATACATGAACTTGATTCCGATTGTTCAGTTTGTATGACAGCTATATGCTATAGTCGTCCGATATCGGCCATTCATACAAATAGGCAGTTTCTTGGCGAGAAAAGGTTATATGCTAAGTTTAACATCGATATCTCAAAAACTGAGAGACTAGTTCGCATACATACAGACGGACATAGCTAAATCAACTCAGCTAATCATGCTGATCATTTATGTATATATAATACAATACAAGTATTATATTTTATAGGGTCTCCGACGTCTCCTTCTGGGTGTTAAAAACTTCATGGCAAACTTAATATACCCTCTTTAGGGTATAAAAACACAATAAAGCTTTTGGGTGTGGTAAAAATGTGATTACAAAAATACTGCGTCTTGATACAAAGGCTCATTATCACGTTATATACATATGTATATGTAGTAATGCAGATATGGGTGTACATATGTATATGCATGTTCGTGTGATTAGCATACAAATTGTTAAATTTGTCAATCAAATTATAATATTAACAAGACTTATACGAAAATATTATTTATACATATGTACATATGTATTTAAATCGTTAATTTGTGTATATTACTTTTCTATACAAGGTGCTTAAATAAAATGGTGTTTCGACAATATTTGTATGAACTGACTGCGAATTTGGTCAAAATAATGGAGTGGCTTTGAAAAACAAATTTTTTAAAAAAGATAGGTTATGTTGAATATGGCAGAGTATTTTTCATAACAGAATATAAGTGACACCGCGGAGAGTTTTGAGATATATTGGCAATTTACTGTCACATTGTCAATTTATCACAATATTATTGATTGAGAGACACTTGTATTTAATGAAATCCTAAGCTCTCCATGCTAAGCATTGCTAATTCCGGAGTAAATGCTGTTCAACAGCTGCAAGTTTTGCATCTAACATGCCAACAAACTTTGAACTCTGAATCGTCGCTGAATAACCGCTAACTCAGAAAAGTGTAAGAGGTAAAAATATCGACAAAAGTTGCCTGAGCAACAGCGTTACCGCGCATAACACCCTGTTATGAAATTTAATAGCGTCAAAATATTTATAGTACACACGCTAATATGCATAGTTTGCATACTAGCCGACGTTTAATAGAACTTGAATATAAGTTTTCGTGCAATTATGCGAGAATTCCACAATTTAACAGTATTTTAAATAAATATTTCGTGCGTTTGAAGATATAATTAATTAATGAAATTTCTAATTTTCGCTTTTTACTATAATATTTTATATGCTATTTTCGTCTTCGAGCGAAGCAAAAAAAAAAATCATAAATAATTGAATTTTCCTAATTGTATGGCGGAATAAAACTAAATGGGGTCAATACCGAGTCATGGATGCCTAATAGAGGTAAAAGCAATTAAACAGGAATGAGTCAACTTAGTATATAAATATTTAATATATAACAGTCAATATACAATGAAATAACTTAAGAATTGCATATCAAATTCACACACTTTTATATGTGTACATGTTTGCTTTTGCAAATTAGCATTCAAACACAATTGCTTCAAAACCAACAACATTTACATATGTACAACTCTTATTAACCCAGCGCAATGTCATTGCGAGAAATATCATTTGATTCATATGTATGTGTATATATATTTAATTTCAGTATTATATTTTGCATTCATTTTATTATTAACCGCTAATGCCGTCATCTCGGCATAACGCAGCTCGACTGACAGCGCACACGTACTCTTTTATTTATGTGCTGTGAACAGTGTGAAGAATATTAATAAGAACGCTTTGCAAGGTAGGATAATAAAACAAAGTATGAAAATGCTGCTGAATGAAATCTAGCGCTACATGGCGCACTATGTACACAGATAAGTTTTACATTGGGCTGCCAGGACGTATACTGAACTGCAGCAATTTTGTCAGAAAACAATAAGAGAGAATGGCCGGTGTTCATGAGGCAGTGTAACATATACTGTAGAGTTAAAAATTATATATAACGAACAAATCTTGCAACAAATCTATATAAAGCTATTTTTTATAAAATAATAAATATTTTAACATGAAATTAAAGGCTATTTCACTAGATGATCATATTCTTATAAGAGTAGAGTACTGAACCTAAAATCGTTTAGTTACTAGCGAACTCAGCAACAAGATTGATTTGTTAATTGCATTGCAATTACTGTAGTCGCAGCCTTTGAGCTCTGCTAATGTTTATATAGCTATACCTGACTTTTGATTACAGCAGCAGCTTAAATCAACCGCAATTAGGGTAAGTCAGCTTGCCTCAATGCTGTTGTTCTCCTTTCGCATACCTGACTTTTGTGCGGACTAACACAAACAACCTAACCTATATGTCGGTTATTATTATAAAAATCTGTGACATGGAACTTAATTATTACTAAAAATGCAGTTAGTTGAAAAGTTTTAATTACGTGCAACTCTTTTGCCGGCTGTTGAGACAAAAATAAGTGTCTGCAATTATAATACTTTCTCTCTACTCATCAGCATGCAAACAAAACATTATAAATAATAAGCATGTGGTTGAACAACAGAGTTTGCAGCAGCACTTGTTGTTGCTGACACTAATAAAGTATAGCGTATACTCATATTTGCGGCTTACCTCATTTAGACCATGTGTGTCGTTCGACTTACAACAGCCGAAAAGGCAATCGAAGATGCCGCGAAAACACATTTTACAGTTTACTAAATTTTTTTTTGTTTTTGTGTGTAAACGATTATTTTTGGTTAGTTGTGGAAGCTAAAACACTAATTTACTTAGGCTTAGGAACTTAAAAGCAGAACAGCTGCATAAAATCATCGAGGTGAAGGACTTTCTAAATATTTATATTTATGTACGTGTGCTGACATTCAGTTGGGAGTATGAGTATAACCGTAATTTTTATATTATTTTGATTTTCAAACGCAACCAAGTGGCTTGTGTGAGCAGTTTGAAGACGGTGCCAACCCGATATATTTGGTTATGCGCTTTTGGAAACAGTGTTGGTGTTTATGGAGTGCTGATTTTATTTTTATATTTTTCTATTTTGTCTCATGCGTCAATAAATATTGAATAAACGTTGCTACTAAATATCACGCAAGGTACATATGTATGTATATGCTTTGTTGTTCTTAGTGTGTCATCACTTTGGGGTCATGTGGTACTTTCGCTTCAAGGTTTTGCTACGTTGCTCTAAATATCATTTAACAATTTTTCTTTTCAAGCTTAAGCGCTCATATAGTGCTTTCATAAGGCGATTTCAATGCGCTCGACAATCACAACTTGCCAAATATTCTGAAAATTCACAAGCGCTTGGCGTTTCATGAATCACAACATCGTGATTTGCCGGCTTTCAAGCGACTCTCACATACAACAATAAATTTCTTCACTTTCTGCTTTGCAATGTTATTCTAACCTATTGGACTGGCTGCCTTGCTTGATCTTGGCATTAATGTTTGTTTTTTTTTTTGTTTTTCGTTTTGCTTATTTTATCAGTTGTTGTTGTTGCTGCAAACGCTGTGCTGCGTATATACTTTATAGCGCGTTAATAAAGTTATCGAACGTTTGCGTTAGTCATTCACTCGGTTTTGTTTATCTTCCACTTGTTAAAATCAACAAATCGAAGCAACAATATTGTTGTTGTTGTTGTTGTTGTTCTACAGCTGTTTCGCGCAAACGCTATAAATAAATTTGCGTTTTTTTATTGATTTCATTTCACTCTCTTTGGCAATATTTGATTTACTTTGTAATATTTAGTTAGAAGGCGTGGTTTCAATTGAAAACACTGTACACATACAAACATGCATATGTATATATATGTAAATATTTAATACGAAAATTTCTAACTACGTGCTGCAAAAGTTTGAAAAATTTAGCTACGACTTAAAAGCCTTTTTTCATTGAATCACAGCCTCGCCGCGTGCTCGAGCCGCATTTTCTATGAGTTGCGTTGAGTTTCGCGTTCACCTTCCACCGAGTTCTAACAAGTTTGGCTACGAAATTGTCAGCATCGAAAAAAATCGATTGCCATTTTGTTGGTTGGCATGCGACGCCTCAGCGTTTATTTTTGTTTTACAAATGCGCTTTTATTAGCAAATCGTTTCGCATTACAAAATTCGATTGCGAGTTTTCAAAAGTTCACTAATACGCGTAAATATTTTTAATGGTTTGCTACTATAAATTTCGTCTAATTGTCGACAAAGTTCTTGTTGTGTTTTTCGCCAGTTTTATTGTTGTTATTGTTGTTGATTTCATGCTTTCCATGCTTTTACGACATGTTTTGCCGTACAAATACGCGACTTAACTGAAGATAATCGTTTGGTTGAACATTGAGAAGCTCCCATGTGGAGCGGCTGTTCAATTGAATGTTTGTATGTTTGTATGTATGTATGTATGTATGTATATGTGTAGCGCCAATAATAAGCACAAAGGTGTAGCACCGTAGCAATGAGACTAAAAGCTGTTAGGCAGCATGAAAAGCTTCACTTATTCAGGTCTCTTACTTCGAGCAAGCGACGTTGTTATTTGCAATTACACATACATACACACACGCGCAAGTAGAGTGCTAGGTAAGTGGAACAACCCCTACCAGTGCAGTGAGACATTTGAAATACGAGTCATACAGATATCATGGTACCCTACTTTAAGCATCATCAAGATTTGTGTAAGCCATTTGAACATTGGAACCAAAACAGCTGTTTAGTGCTTCTTCTACAGTCGAAATACCGAGATTTTTCATTTCTAGTGTCAGACTACCAAGTGTGTTTAAGACAAGGAAGCGTATATCCATAGTAGTACATCAGTCATGCAAAAGTTTTTCGGACTATTAATTATCGAAAAACTTCAAGTTGTTGATCACATTAGCGTTTTCTGCTCAGGTTAACTTTTCTCGAGTAATGAATACAAAGAAGTACCAAAAGAAGTGACAATTGAAAACGCTAGCCAGCTATATGAATATCATACATGGCGATAAGGAAAATTTTGTTGACTATTTTAGTAGACTTTCCAACAAAATTGAATATTTCACGAAGAACTTACTTGTAAAAGCTAATTTTATTCAATCACCAAAAATTTGTAAAATAACCATTTTTCTGTTAACCATTACTTACTAAATTGTTTTTTATATTGTATTATATTATATTTTATATTTATATTTTATATTTATATTTTATATTATATTATAACTAATTTGTTTTCGAATACCCGATGTAGCTTTAAAACTATTGCATATGCTAATGAGTGCATGTACTCGCTATTGTTTTGATTCTAATTTCTAATTTTCTCATGCCTTATTTACAACCACAGCTAGCTATTGAGCGCACACACTTGTATCAGATAATGTTCATTAACATTCTCTGCTTGTATGTATTAAACAAAATGTTTTTAAATATATCTGAGATAACAACATACATATGTATATGTATGCTCTAACTTATTCTGGACGCTCTCAGCGAGCTATTGCTTTACAGCGCTCACTGTACATTCGAGGTGTGTTTGCAGGTGTGTTTGCTGGCATGAGTGTGTAGAATTCATGTGTAAACTGTTTACTTGCTGATAAGAAAGCTCTTCAGACTTCACTTTGTTTTGCGCGGTCTACTCACAAAGTCATGTTGTGACCCTTATGCTTATCAGCCTGCTGCGTCTTCTTTCCTTTTGCAATCACTTGAAGTGAAAGCAACAACCAAACTAGAGTGTTATGGTAAATGGGTGGCACTTAATCAACAAGTGTCAAAGGTCAGGTTTTGTGTCTGTCTTTCCTTTTTTCGAAGGATATATAAAAATACATATGTATGTATATACAATGTAAATGGAAGTATACCAGTGTTATCAGAACTGTATTTTCTATTGCCGTTGAAAAATAACTAATTGACAGTATACACCTGCGAATATAAAATACTAAGAAGGTGCAAATCGAATTCTGTATGATGCTCTATTGAACGGCTAACGGCTTTTCATGCTTGTATGTTCTCTGTATACACGAATCCGTTAACAAAACGAACTACAGTTATTCTCTATTGTTGGTTTCTTACAATACTCTCCTAAAAGTATGTTAGGTGCATTAGTATATGCATTGCATAAAACACAAAAAAAAAATATTGAAAATATATATATTTTATAAAAAAATATGGCAAAATGTTTACAGTATTGTACACAGGTAAGAAATGCTAATATAATACTTATTTTCCTTTAACTCGTTGATTTTACTGCAGTTTCAATTATTAATTCAAAATAAAAATTTACGACTCGCTCTCTCTGAATTTAAATTTGTTTGTTTTATATGGCAACACCATTACGAAGAAAAACAACAAAAGAGAAATCGATAATATGACGTTTGTCACACCACTAGAGAAACACGGAGAACAAACAAAAACAAAAAATGTAAAAATCATATGGGTGTCAAAAAACTGAAAGTTTATTAATGCTAGAGGGGAGGGGTATTTGAAAATCACTTAAAAATGAGTAATTTGGGTACAACTACGTAATTCAAAGTACGTAAACAAGATTGCTGATGAGATAACTGTGTTTTTTTAACCTGGCTGCATTTGATTATACTAAGAAATTCATAAATATAATGTACGTACATCTATTTCATCACCACTGAGCACTTCAATGTCATCAAAATTATCCACCATCTCATAGTCCCGGTGTCCGCCATCCATCGAATCTTGCCCTGCTAAGGACCGGCGTTGCATTGCAAAAGTATCAATGGCCTCATAAGCTTCGGCAGATGCCTCGATAGCGGCAAAATCGATGCCCCGTCGATGCATTTCTTTTCTAACTAATTCGATTGTATGATCTACGTAATTGGCACTAGTCAACGGTATACGCACACGACGTAATATCTCGTACACAACTCGCACTGATAATGCGTGTCTGTTGGCTAACTCTTGCAGCCAGATAGCGCGACAATTTCGTCGAAATTCAACTTGATTACGCTTGGCACGCAGATACTGGAAACTTCTACTTGCACTTAATCCGTAACGCACAAATGCATCCGCGAATTCACAGAACTGCTCTAGTGCACTGCACACACAAAATGCCAGTGCGGCCATAATGGAAGTTGTGCTTTAAACTGTCGTTTTTGTTTTTTAGCTCTTGCTCACTGTTCCTACTCAATCCTCAGTCTCCTCGCTCTCATGCCGAGCAGCCCGTTCATTAATTTTCGCTTAGCTCACCTCTGCTCAACATCTTTATTTTTGCTTACACGTTGTTTATCAGATTCTGTTTTGTTTTTGCTTTACGTTGAGCAAAAGTTGGACCCTCTGTTGTCAATCTCTAAGTTACACGTATGAGCGCCAATGGGGGTGATGAGGTGTTTGCACACGCTATATGCGTGTATGTGTATATGTATGTGTGGTTTTGCGTTATGTTCAGCTTGAACTTGTGCGACTGACTAAAACTAATGTAAGTCGAATTTGTTTACCCTGCTTTGGTCAATTCAAAGACGTCTCCTTCCAACGTGCTATGGCTTATTATCGATAATATGTTATCTGTGCTATTGCACAATCATATTTTAAATATTCGGACGTACATGCATACATACATATGTAGTATGTACTTATCAATTTTTAGAAATGGCTATGTAATAAAAGACACTTTCTTGATAATAATTTTAGGACATAAAATAACAACTAGTACTAGATTATGAAATATTATTTATTTATGATGCAGTCCATACAAATTGTTCGCTTTTAGCCTTAAGAATCGTAAGAAACTAATATTTGATGACAAATATTTTAATATGCAACAAATATTTTTCCACACAAATTTACGTTACTGATAAAACATATGTACATATGTATGAATGTAAGAGTATGTAATAAAATAGTCTATCTAATTTGATTTTTAGCTTAATATTGCATATAATTTTTACCCACTTCGTACTCACCATGTTCTCATCATCGGCATCTGAGCCACTGCTCGATTTACATTTCTTATAGCAGGGCATTTTCAGTTTCGTCCGTGATTTATTATTGTTGTTAGCACAAATGGCTTTTATCAAACTTTCGTATAAACTTGTACTCTTTTTTTAGTTTTTTCTTTACTCCGCTAACACGATTTATATATTTTTATTTTATTTTGTTTTTTTTTTTTTTTAATAGCGAAAACGTCACTTTGGTTATCTCTGCAAAAACAAACCGATATCAAAATAACACTAATGACTAATTCAAATATATGTATGTATATAATTATTTGCTATGTGCGAACGCGAGGTGATCGTAACCCACACTATCGCACTTTGTTGTTACAATTTTGTGGTTGATCGTTGCACCGATGCGAACTTTTAAATTTACGGCACTTATGTTACGGAGTTGTGGAAAAGGTAAGTAATATAGCAGTCATTTTTGTTTTTTTCTTCGTTTGCATGCGCTAATAAATTCGCAACTGCAAAGGCGAATGTGGCGAAAAATATTTATTATATATATTTTTTTGCTTTAATGTTTATATAGCGGTTTACTGCCTGCAGTTAAGATTTGATTTATAAGCCAAAGGTGCTAAAAAGCTTAGCCCTTACACATGCACTAATGCTTTTACAAATATTTTAATATACTCGTATACATATTGGAATATGTTGCGACCGATTTACTTTGGACGTCTTTTCGCGACGATTCATTCTTGCAGACTATTTGAATGGTCTCTTTTGCTTGAAAAATTCATGAACAATTTCTTACATATTAATTTGCAATAAACCTACTACATACAGACAGGCATACATACATATGTTGTATTCAATTGTATTTATGCACATACTTAGATGTATGGCCGAAGCGTCATTTAAGAAAAATGTTTTTGTGGTCATTTATTATTTTTTTGGGCGTGATTGAATATTTCTTGCTAATTTCACTTGCTCACGCAGTGTTTTTGGTGTTTTTTTGTATATAATTCATGGTAAAATTGCTGTTTGGTTGTTGCGTGACATGCGTGGGTGGGAAATACCGATAAATGTGCGCTGATAAGCTAGTATATACCAACTTTTGTGTAGAGGTAAATACTTACAGTCATATACGAGTACATACCAGGAGCACATACTGCTTACTTTCATAAATACATTTAAAATTTCATACTATTAATAAATTTTTTTTAAATTAAAAAAAAAAAATATTTCTAAATGTTTTTTATTTTTAATTTTTAGAAGTAATTTCGATTTTGAATGAAACAATTTAAAAATTCAGCAATTCATTGTATTTGTAGCGTAAACTTCATTATTTTTACAAGTAAACGAAATAATATAATACATATATACATATGTATGTATATGTGTGTAAGTTAAATATATTTTAGGTGTAATTAATTCAGTAATAATTTTGTAGAAGTTTAAATAATTTTATAATAATTAAACGAAACAAACTAAAATATATATTTATTTCAAAACTAAGTTATGTGCTAAATATTTTTTAATAAAAAATTAACTAAAAGTACTGCCAAATAAATGCTAGGTCACACTCTGGATTTTTAATTCAGTAAATTTTAAATGTGAACATATTTTGAATATTTCACTACGAATTTATTTACTTTTATTAACTATAATTAATATATATATATATATGTATATATAAAGTATATATTATGTACACACACAAGAAAAGAAAATATTAAAATAATATACAAGTTTTTAAACACAAGAATAATATACGCAAAACATAACGTAACATAAAGAGATTATGATTATTCAGCGCTTAGCGTGAAATTCAGCTTAATATAAGAATAATTCACTGCTGCTGATAAGAGAACCTGTTCTTCCATTTGTGTTGCACGCAAAAAACGAGTTGTGGGATGACTTAGTTTCTGAAAAATTTAAGAAAAAGTTTTAAAAATGTAAAAAAAAAATTAAGTAAAATTCTAGTTTCTCACCTCGCTCTACTGCTGCGCGTCGAAACTGCAGATCGTCGCGTTGTTCCGGGCGATTTATCTGGACCCTTGTAGTATTTAGACATCGTTTTGCTGATGCGTGAAGGTCGTGTGCTGACACTAAATATATAATAGTTATTTATTCGTGAGTAATTTAGAGTGGCAAAAGTTATTCTTAAATTTAACTTACATTGTGCTGGTGGTGCTTTCGTTGTCATTCTTGACGCTCACCGTATCGTCGCTTTCCTTTTCGAAGTCACGCTCACTCGGCGCTTTGCGCCCATTAGCCGGTGGTGGTCGACTGCGTTGACGTGGTGCCGGCGTACTGTTTCGCGTTTCACCTTCATGCCTGTCGCCGGCATTCTTTTCCGTTTTGGGCTTCAACGGCTTATCGTCATCGTCATCATCTTCATCGTCCTCTAACTCAATTTCGTCTTTTAATCTTCTTCCACGTCTACGCGTTGGTGAAGTACTCTTTGCATCTTTAATGTCAGCTTTGTGAACGCCCTGTAACGAGGCTAAGCTTGTGGCTGTTAGGTAGACATCAGTTTCTTCCTGTTCCGCATTGGAGCAGCTGTAAAGGCAAAGAAAAAGATATTTTATTAACTACATATATATTTGTTTCTCTCAATTTTACTCACTGTAAATCCTTTTTGGCGACACTTTTCCCCTCAGCAGCATCCTGATTTTCTTCATCGTCGATGAGATCAACTATTTCATCGGCCACAAGTGTAACTGTCGACTTGCGATTGCGTGTGGGCGGCAGTAGTTTTCGTCTTATACCAGGAATTCTGCTTGGCGCCGCCGCGGTCAATCGTTTGTCTGCCTCTTCGATTTTCTTATCTTCTTTCGCTTTGCTCTGCAACACCAATGTGATTTTATTAATCTCCTCCTCCACATCTAGCGGACCGGCTGCTGTGTTGGACGCTGATTTTGCGCGTGGTTGAACCACTACTTCCTTCACAACATTTACCGTCTCTTCAGAATTATCGTCAATGATGACCGAGGACGGAGCTTTTTTGCTGCGCTGCTGCTGTTGCTCCTGTGCTTTCTGCAAAGATTTTTTCAAGGCGCTGCGTATTTGCTGTATTGAACCACGCGGCGCTGGTGTGGTGGCTGACACAACAGCAACATCTTTATTCTCCGCTGCGACTTTCTGCAGTCCGATCGCTTCGAGTAACTGTTGGCCAAGCGCAGATTTGCTCGAGCTTTGTCTTTTAACTGCGTTACTGTTACGCGTAGTCGTCCTGCCGGCTGCGCTAGCATTCGTTGTAACAGTGTTGGTAGTCGTATTGTTGCCCACTAGCGAGGACACACTGGTAGCCGCAGCTGCCGTAACTGTCAACATAGTCTCCGTTGCTTTAGTTACAATTGCGGTTGGCGCGGCTTCGCTCACATTCGTTGTGTTTGATGGTACTTGTGTACCAATTGAGATGATGTTGGATGGGTATTGGGTGGCAATTGTGTTGAGGCTGTCGAGGGATTGTGTTTTGGAGGGTTTCCTTGGCGGCGCTGCTGTGGATTGTAATATATTGGGAGAGGCCGCCACCAATTTTGTTGTTGTGGCAGTGCAGGCTACGCTCTCAGCTGGTGTTGAGGTGATAGGTGTTACTTCCTTAGTGTTTATGGCAAGATTCAAACGCGCTGGTGAAGCTTGTATAACGGTTTTGCGACGCTTTATGATTGGACGTGTTATCATTGGTTTGGATACCTGTTGTGGTACTGGGAAGGTGACGGACTCGTTTTGTGATAGACTCGAGGAACTACCCGCGTTTGCATCGCCATTATTTTGCGAGTTTGTTGTTGTGCTTTCAGTGCAATCATCTGGTTCCATCAATATAATATCATCTGTATCGAAAACAAAATCACTTCCGCTAGCGGGCACTGTGATAATCGAGTTGCTACGCTGACGTCTGGGCTGTGGTTGTGACTGGGGCTGTTGCATGCGGCTGAGAGCGGCGCGTTGCCGTTGTAGCAGTGCCAGCAAGGCATCATTCGAGCTGGTGGCACTGAGACCGCTTAACATGCTCAAATGTGTAAATAATGCCGCTGGATCGAGATCGACGTGAATGTCGGGTGTCGACTTGGAATTTAGATACTGCGAAGTGAGTGTAGAATTCAAAGCAGCGTATTCATCGTTGTTAAATATCGACGCGCTGCGTCCACGTGCCGACACTTTTCGCACCTTTTTGGGAGGTGCTAATTTTATATTATCATTCTCTGCGTCTCGCTTCAATGATTGATTCGAAGCGCTCGTCTTCGGTGTGACGTCTGTTACTTCCGCATCTTCTTCTGGGCTAGCTGGCACCAACTGCACTGAAGTCTCTGCCGGCAGTTTGTACGGCAACGCTGTTGTTATGCCAGCCACTTGCAACTCCGTTTCTTTGGTGACTGCTGCAGCCGCCGCAGCTGCTGCTGCTACTTGTTGCTGTTGCTGTTGCAACATTTGTGCCGCCTGCAAAACCGGACCCAAATAGGGTCCCATTATTTGTGTAAGATCGGCGTCTTGCAGCAGATTCGGATCAGCCATTATGGTGGCAAAACGTGAGTTACGCAAACGTTCCAATTGCGCCTCCATTGTGTGTTTATTCACCGGCCATTTCAGTGCTTTCAATATGAGTTTGAGCAGATCTCCATCTTTGATTACTTTACCGAGCAAGATGTCATCGGGAATACTGGGTCTGGCCGACTGTGACAAATCCGTCGGTTCCGATTGCATTTGTTGCTCGGTTGTTGGCTCGTTATGTGGAGTGGACTGAGGAGAAACTTGTACTTGATGTTTTTGCTGTTTTGTTGCGGCAATTATCATCTTCTCTGGAAGCGGCTCTGCCGGTACATCATCTTCAACCAACAAAGTTGGCGGCTCGACAGCTTTCGATTGTGGTTGGTTACCCTGTGCATTTTGACCGAGCTTTTGTGAGACCTTTAGTAAGGAAACTTGGCCAGCATTAACGGCTTTGATGTTGTTTAATGCATTTTTAAGATTTTTACGCTTCTGTTGCAATGTATTAGCGTTCTGCTTAGGCTGATCGGCTGTAGTTTTGTTCGTTGGCACGGTTTCAGGTACACAACCAATTACGTAACCACCGCTTGTAACTGTCGTTACCTGCTGTTGTCTATTGGGAAAGAAATTTATGACACCCGATGTTGTTGGCTTCTTGGTGGAAGCTGCAACTTCTGTATGCTTCGGCGTACTGGCAAAGCCACGTTGTGCAATAGATTTCGGTGTGAAGCGCGTATCCAGCGAATTCTGACGACGCGATGCTGTTATCATCTTGTGCTGGGTCTCGCGGGTCAACGGATCGTTAACAGAGACATTTAGTACGACCTCGTCTTTGTGGGCACATGTCGACGATGCTGGCAGTGATGCTGGTGGCGTGGATTCAGCGCTCTGTACAAACGGCTTCTCTGGCTCCTTTGGTTTCGGCTTCTCCGGTACTTGAGTGACAGACGCACATTCTTTTGGCGACTTGGTTGGGGGAGTTTTAGTAGTGGGGTTGCTGCTTTCACTGCTTTCAGCTTGCAAACACGACTAAAAGTATAAAATGCCCGTAATTAGTGTGAGTGTGATGTATTTTAGATTATTATGTGGTAGCAACACACCTTTGTATTGAAGATGAAATCACGGAAAACCTTTTGTGTGTGTTTGGCGATTTTTGACAGCGATGCAGTGGCTTCCACTTGGCGGAAACAAGCCTTGCATAACACCTTCGGTAGTATATCCTCTTCTGAAATCTGGAAATCAAAATTTAGATGATTAGCTTTTGGACTTTATTAATGAAAAAGATTTTTTAAGTCAAAGCTCGTTCGGGAATGTCTGTATAACCCAAGATTAAGTAAAATTACAGGTTTAGTCAATATCTTCATGTCATAAGCAACTTCATTTATATTTATCGCCATCTCAAACAGCCATTATCTTTCAGCACCTCAAGATAAAATGCAAAAATGCGAACATCGAGAAATAATCGCTCCCACCTCCCATGTAACTTCTATGATTCTATGATAATTAACGTGATATATGTACATGAGTTCAGAAATCTCTCCAGAAAATTTTTGAAATTGATCTCTTATCTCTTTATAGCCAATCAGACTGAATTTAAACTTTCTGTCTCCTATTTATGCCCACCTTTCTACTTTGAATATCGAGAATGACATAAATAAAATAAAGTAAAATTAGATAAATAAAATCTAGAGCTTCGCTGACCCCTTAAGTCGATTTTTGAATTATTTTCTTTTAACCGGTCGGTAATAGAGATAAAGATTTAAAAAATCGCAATACTAAATTTTGAGTTCCACCCTAACTTTGCTCACTCTAACAGCTTACTGCTTTTTCTTCTTATTATACCTTATACGAAATTTGTAACACCAAGAAGCAAACGCCGGAAATCTATAAAATATATATACAAATGAACAATATGACGTGCTAGTTCCATTTAGCCATGTCCTTCTATCTGTCTGTATATACGCGAACTAGCAGTTTTGAAGTTATCGCTCTGAAATTTCGTTCACGTTTGTTTGCCGCCAAGCAGCTGCTCATTTGTCGGAACCGCCGATATCAGACTACTATAGCATATAGCTGCCATACTGATAAAAAAATCTAGTACTTGTATGAAAAACTTTCTTATTTGTGAAGGGTATTATAGGTTCGGTGCAGCCTAATTTAAAGTTTTTCTTCTTTTTATTTGAGATTCTGCTACGTATTTCTTATGTAATAACTATGTGTGTGCATATGTACAAGTATATATATAGGTACATAGCTCTCTTACAAGTATGTAAATATGTATTAGTGCGCTGTACGAAGTGTTCACTCATCACGCTCTCACATAACAGCCGGTCGTAAATTTGAAAATTACAGACTCGAACTGAACGCGTGAATTTTGTAAAATAAAAATAAAAAAAAAGTTGACATTGACATTGCAAAAGCGCAACTTTGTTAGAGAATGCCAATTTTCAGCGCCTCTAGCTACTTAGAAGCATATAAGGAGCGAACAACAATAAATATACTGTGCAACATTTGAACGCTGCTAACCTGTTTTCATTGAGAATGTATTGATCAATAGTATACGGACAAATTCATATGAGGAGAACCACATAGAGATACATACATATGTACATATGGTATGCTATCAGGTAATTATACATATATACACTTAAGAACACAAGCATATGCATAATGGGGCACTTCACAGGACTAGTCCATCGCAGAACAATTGTAACCATTTTTTTACGTATTTTTACCCTTCATTTAATCTATTATTTCGCTTTTGTGGTTTCGCAATTTCCGCAACAAACACTTGTACTTTAACGCCTAAAACCAGAAATACAGATCAAAACGGAACATATAATAACATGTGTTGACATAACGAAGCCTGAAGTATGTATATATCGAGAAGTTAGTTTATATATACCCTTAAAAGAAACCCTTAAGTGGTTAGACTCATAGCTTCGTTCGTAATTTAAATTTCACTTATAATAATCAGTCTCCAATTGAATAAAATTCACAGTCAGTTCGGTAAAGCTTGAACCCAAACTGCTACTCCGGTTTCTAAACTTACCGTCTAATGGTTCTGCTGAACTTTTTTTTTTAAGAGCAGTTAAGTAAAATAACACAGTAGTGTTTTATAGACGAATTTTACTACAGCAAAATTCTTTATTATGATCATAGTCTCTCTCAAAAACTTTAAAACAGATGGCAAACTAATTCAGCAAATAATTTCAATTTGATACGAGTATCGAGTTCGTTTATTTTAATATTATCGATGAGTTGGCAAAAAAAATTCTGCAATACTGCAAACTTTTTAAAAATCCTTAAGAAGCTCACCTACTGTTTGAAATAGAACTCAAATAGTTTTTTAAGTTACAGTTCTTTAAAGGCATTTTTTCGAAACATTATTTTTCGAATTTTCATTCAGTTGACAAAGCGACAAATGATCCGATCACTATCAAATTGTGTCTGCATGATCTGTATAATTTTCGATACAATGAGCTAACAGTTTTTTCATCTTATCAAAAGTTGAATTTTAACAGCACTAAAATTTTGGGTAATAATTAACTTTTAAACGACACCATTTTGTAAATTTTTGTTTTTTTTTCGAAGGGAAGTTATTGTACGCAGAATATCTTCTAGACAAAATTATTTTTTTAGGTTTCATAATTTTTTTGGCGCCGTCGGCGATTGCGTGTAAATCGAAAAATATAAAAAAAAATTTCTTCAAAAACTTTACTGTGTATTTTTAAAATATGTTCAATTATATATGAATATTAGCTCCAAAACATCGCCGTTTTTTAGGTTGTCACACTAGGTGTAACTCTTAACATTTTTAGATTTTCTTTATAAAACATTTCGAACAGGAATTGAATTTATGGATTGGAAATATTGCGCCGAAAGATAGGCAAACTCAGTATTTGAGCACGAAAGCAAAGCATGGAATGAGCAAAAAAAAAAACACCAATACAAGTACCTACGAAGGAAGCCTACGTTAGCTTTGAAAATTGGAAAAATCATCTGTTCAAATCCAAAGAAAAATTTTATATTTTACATATGTATTTGAATATTCCTATAACTTAACTTGGCTTATGATCGTTTGCACACACGGGCAACGCGAGCGACACGGTGCATTTGTATGTGTGTATGTATGCCAAGGCATGCACTACCACAGACACAACTTTACCTTTTGAAAGCTTTGCAGTAAATTAAATACAAATACTTTGTTCTATGGCCTCAGAACGAGTATACACAACGTTAACCAGCTTCAGGCATGGAATTTTTCAAACAATAACAATACACTAGTATATTTACATACTTACATACACACATACATATGTATGTATATAAATAACATTAACGTATGCGTGTGTGTGCGTGTAGTTTTATTGCCTTTTCCACTGAATTCACGCGTTTTGCTTCTCTATTCGATTGTCACACATGTGTTTGCATGTTTGTGTGAATGACTAACTATGTTTTGATGTATGCGTGCTGCAGTCTGTTTTCAAAACTTATAACAATTTTTAGTGACAGTAAGCTAACCGTAAATATTTTTTTTTAATAAAAAAAAAAAATAAAGAAGTGTTGCGAAGTTCTGGCTCCAACATTTTAAGTGCTGTACTTTTTTTTTTAGCTTTATTGCTTTTCTCCCCTGCTTTCATTTTAAGCTTGGAACCCACACAATTTGGCGACTCGTGCCAGTAGCACGAATTGATTTTTATTTACTTTTGAATTTTTCGTTACAAGTTTTAAGTGCGTGTGTGTAGGTGCCGTCAAACGAGATTTACAAACACTACAGTAGCTGCATAGCCTCTGCTGGCGTCTGAATGTGTGTGTGTAAATAAATGAGAATCTAAGAATGTGTATATCACACAAGTTATTTCAGCTGATTGTAATATTTTTGTTATTGTTGTTGATTTTATTTTTATCAGCATTTTCTTGGGTAATGCTTTTCGCGTCGCTTTTCTGCGTTAATCACATGAGTCTACTTGCTGTAAAATTCTCTTTTTGTTATCTACTCGTTCCTTTAATTTATTTCACACCATAAATTTCACTAACACAAATGCAAAAAAAATTGGCATTAATTGCCGCGCTTTCTGCTCACTGAAACACTTTGATTGTGTTCTTTGTGTCCTTACTAAATCATGGCCAATTTGATTTTTATTTGAAATTGCGAATTGTAGCCAGCCAAATATCTTTAAACAAGCTCAAGTGCTAACCCTGATCACTTTCGTACCCAATTTTTCATACCTTGGTATACCGTTACACTGCGTTATGGAGTAGTTTTTAAGGACCGACTATGAAATTATACTATGAGCTATCTCCCACCTAATTTTAATACGATTAATCAGGTATTTACGCGTTAGGTGTTTTCGGTAGAAATCAACAAGTTTTGAGTGCGGGGGGAAGATGTTGACAGCTCATGCATTATTATTAAAGAGTTGCCAAAAAAAGACAGCTATAACATGCCATCAACAGTAAATTTTGTTTAAATAATAAGTTCAGACTGTAAAATAAGGTGGTAAGCCTAAAATTTCTCTTTTCTATTAGAACTCAAGCCGTATTCTCCAAACTTTTTAGCTCAGTCGAGCCACGACCGTCTGTCTGTACGTGAACTAATCCTTCAGTTTTTAAGATATCAATCTGAAATTTTTCAAAAGAAGCTGTTAACTTTCGGAACCACCTATATCGGACCACTATAGGATATAGCTGCCATACAAACTGGTCGATCAAATTCAAGTCATTGTATGGGAAACTTTCTTAGTTGACAAGCTATTTTCACGAAATTTAGCATTGATTATTGTCCAAGGCAAGGCTACAATCTCCAAATATATTGTTCAAATTGAACCACTATATGCTAAAGCTGTCTTACAAACTGACCGACTAAAAGCAAGATAAAGTACTTCATAAAAGAGATTTTTCCTGAACTTTATTCGTTTTGGAAGTGGATTGTATCAAACAACGTGGCTAGAATGAACTAAAAAAACGTTTTAACTATCCATATTTAATTATAGTACATATATGTACATACAGTAAGGTGAGTCAAAAAAAAAAATGTTTTTTTCGGCTTGGTATTCGGAAACGATGAGTTAAAATGATTTTTCTTTCGTTGATTTACAAAAAGTATAAGAAAAAATTTTGCTTTAAAATAATCAAACTTCAACCGTTTATATCTTTTAAATAGTTAGGTTTACGAAAAAATCGTAGGAGAATATTCTGTAGAGCATTTAATTTTCTCCAACATTTTTTGTGTGAGATATTTTTTCAAGTAGTTGAAAGCGAGATATGAATCTTTCTATGCGATAATAAGAAAAAACATAGATAACTGTAAGGTGGGGGAACTTCACATTGCAATTTAGAGCCCATACTTGGAGAGGCTCTCTTAAAGGTATCTGCAAAACAATTTTTAAGAGTACCAAGCGAAAAAAAAACATTTGGATTTTCAACACACCCTAATATATGCACATGTATGTAGTTGCTATAAGAAATGCACTTGTGTAGAGTATTTATTTCAGTTTTGGTGCAGCCGATTTTAACATTTTTCTGGTTTTAATATTTTATTGGTGTTCAGTAGTTTTGCTATTTTTCACAATTATTGATCCATTATCCTGACCTCACATCGACCAATACTATCATAACTGAGATCGTTCTAATTGGAAGGAAAAATTAAACATGCATACATTCTCAAAATTCCACTACACACAACTCCCAACAAAAAAGTGCAACAGAAGAGCACTCATCAATACACACACAAACATTTCTTCCTCTCTGCGCACACATACATACATATGTATGTATAGAAACCCAACACAGAAACACGAGTGCATCATTTACGTTTTTTTCCACACTTTCCGCGATCCATGTTTACATAACACAATTTATAAAGAATTATTCTTATATTTATTTGTTCAAGTATTTATTTATATGTCAATATGTTTGCAAGTAGATATGTATGTATGATATGTAAAAAAATGCCAATCTTACCGTCAAATACAAGAATCTCTCAATCTTATCCTTTAATGCTGGCGTCTTCAGTATATAAACACATTCGGCCACAGAGTTTTTGCCTTTTGTGTTGGCGGCACAGACACGACATAAATACTCGAATGTGGACGATGGGTTCTCCATTGCCTTGATTCTGTTTTAAACTTAATGATTTTTATTTTAAACACTTGATTTGTAAAATCCTTTATTTTGAAATTTTTAACTGACACTTTTTAGTTCACTAAAATTTTTAGTTCCACTTTTTATTGACTAAACGCTTGCTATTTTTCAACTGATAATTTTCTACGTCCTGTAGCCTTCAAGCTTTTATGCAATCTTTTTGCAGTAAAACTTACACATTTTTCTACATACATATAAAATATAAAATTATTAATTTTTTTTAGAATTATTAGACTTTTGAATTTTTCGGTAAACCAAAAAATAAATCAAATAATTTCATGCCTTTGGCAGACTTCACTGAAGTTTTTTTTGTTATTACTTTTGCCAGTGTAAACATTGTTGTTTGGGCAAATGGTGGGTCAAATTATTTTTATAAAAGGACAAAATTTATTAAATCATTTATTGGTTCCTGTTATTTTTAATAAAAAATAAACACAAGCGATTTTAAGTTTTGGCCTTTTCCTAAGGTTTTGAGTCTATAATTTGATTTATGGTCATACATATGCTTGCATACAGACTAAGTAAGTATCAATTCTTAATATGATTGGCGAATTTTGCGCTTAACAAATAATAGAAATATAATTTAATGCAAGTTTTTCTTAAATTAAAAACATTTGCATGTTAAGAGCCACTGTGTCACCACTGAATTTCAAATACCGCACATTTTTTATTTTCTTTTTCTAATCAGCCGCCAATTACAGAATACATACACACACGCACCAGTTTGCGCTTACACCGACCAACACTTCTCGGCTAACAAAAAACAACAACGCGAAACTCACAAATAAAATATACAAAAAAAAAAATAGCAACAACAAAGCTGACGCTACCAACGAAAAGGCAGAGGCAACAGATATTGCAGCATAGCTTTTGCGAGGTTGTAGTAAAAAATAATTTACAGCAACAAAAAGAGACAACAAAAGCATAGCACGAGCGAAGCAGAAGCAGCGCTGTCGGCGACGTCAACTTCGTTTCGGTAGAAGGCGAACGCGCTTCTCCTCGCTTTGCCTTGTTTTGTACTACATTTTGCTATGCGTTTGTTTGTTGTTGGCATTACACTTGATGTGCCGTTGTTGCTTAAGGCACTCTTGTTGTTGTTATGCTCACAATTTTTTCACAATGTATTTTTGTTTTCTGATTTATGCCTATTTGATTGAAATGGACGCGAGCTTTGTTTTTTATTAGAATTAACGAAGGCGGCGAGCAGTGAGATTGTCCCGTTGGATATGCGCTGTCTTACAGACGTCAGCGCCGTCGCGTACATCTCCTATGCATGCATTTGTGGAATCATTGCGGTGCGACGGGAGCGCTAAGCACAGCTGAGTCTAGAAGTAACTCAATTGCAAATACTATGCGCCAAGCGCTACGGAGCACACATAGCGCCGTAGAGAAAAGCAATAGCAACAAACACTTGTTCTGCTGATATTTCGCTACACAACACGCAGAAAATCGGCACTAGAAGAGCCATTATATTTTATCAAAACACGCGAGTGTAGAAACTAACGAAAAACGCATTCCGATTAACACGCACACCGTTGCGGCGACCAACCGACGTCAGCGACTTCGCTCGCGCCTATTAAAGCACACAGCAGCCGCGAGCGCCATCTAGCGGCAGCTGTTGCCATTAAACGCACCATAACCACAAACACACGAACACATGTACATACATACATACACTTGTATGCGCTGCCGAACAATGCAGCGAGCCAAACAACGGCACCAGCACCAGCGGCAGTGGGCTTCTTGATTTAGCGCCACTAGTGGTTTTATTGTTGTCTCTTTAACTTTCACTTTGTTTTGGCATGCGACAGTTCGATTCGTATTCCTGTGTTTTGATTTATGCAGTGCCTGCTAATCTGCGTAACGGTATTAGTACGCTGACTGCGCACAATTCATATTTACAAGAAAAATATTTGCACTTCACGATTTGATTTTCCTGTAAAAGTTTTCCTCTGACTAAAACACACACTCGCGCGCGCGACCAAGTACAAACGAGAACTGAACTCGAAAGCAACGAGCGCAACACACACGCTCGTTTCGATTTCAGCATTTTACACGCACACAGCGGCACTCACGATGTTTACATGCCCGCATACAATCACACGGCGTGCACACACATCGGCACATCTGTATGTACGAAGCAGTTGTGTATGCAAGCGAGGCGCGACTATTGTTACCACTACACTTGCAGGCGGACAACTCGCCGCACGCACACTGGCGCATAATTCAGCAGGCTGACGCCGCACAGTGTGTCGAATTGAGCGAAACAATGTAATCATTTTGATATTATGAGATCCTTTAAATTTAAACAAGATTTATTGAATACAATTACGGCTGAATAAGTACATAAAGGTTTGAATATTTTGTAAACCTTTAGATTACAAAAAATAATATTAAGAGGTTCGCTAAGTGCAAATTTAATTTTTTATTTGCTGCAACTGGATAAATATTTTTGAGTTATGTTTCACAATTTGTTATTAAAAAAATAATTTTTTTTTGTATGTATATATGTACATATTCATATAGATATACTCTGACATTTCTTATACGCATCTTATTAATCTCACACTTTTCGTCGTTTGTAAAAAATAAGAGTGCAACTCAATCAGTAAGATAGTTTCAAAATCGGCAACAAAATTTAGTTGAAGTTAAGCAGTGTAAGCATAATGATAGTATAACGCATTAATCTATAAAGTACAGCAATTTTGCAGTAAAAATATCATTAACTTTTAGTAAACGGTAAAAATTAAAGCAAATAAGTTTTAAGAAATTGTTTTAAGCGCACAAAACACTTGCAAATGTAAAAGAGCGTCGAAATTAACTCTCTTCTTCTTGATGAAAATTGTAAGAGGTTACAGTGTAACGATTATAAAGTAAGTTAAAATTTATAAATTATTATCTTAACAAAATCGATTGTTATTGTTTATATATTTACTTCAACTATGAATATTTTTGCTCAAAATTACGCTATTTAATTAACTAACAGTAAACAACCATTTATTGAGACAATTGAAAAATACTAAAAAAGCATAGAATATAGCTTAACTACTTTTTTTCCTCTCATAGCACGAGCTAATATTCTCAGCCAATAATCTGTTCGGCAATAATAATGTAATTTTAAACGTAAATTAAAGCAGATATGCATTTTTATGTAATTTTAAAAATAAATTCCTCACTACTGGTCTTCAAAAATTTTTAAGTTTTTTTTTAACTCTAATACTGCCAGGAGTATTTATAATAATGCCAAAAAAAAACTGAATTATGTCAAACACTGCAAACTTTGTCACACTTTTAATATTTACCGGTATATAACGTTATTTTTCAGCCAAAAAAAGTGTAATTTCAATATAACAGTTGAAGATTAAGCAGTAAAATGTTACATAAATCATAAAACCGTGGCCGTATATTAAATAAATTGTATAATTTGCTCTCTCTGAGCATTTTTTTTGTTGCTGAGTTTGATGTTTTTCAAAGCGCAAATTCATATATACATATGTATGTACACTTTTTCAAGCTCGCCTCTAATAGTATCTACTACAATGAAAGAGTTAACCGCGTTAAATAACTTAAAAGAAAAGCTTACCTAAAATGTACTACATTTTTGTGTGGTTTTATTAATTTCTATAGTATGGTATTTCAACCCACTTTTATATATATATTTTTGATACTATATTATAAGCTAAATTTTTCACTTAAGCTATCACCAATAAATAGAAAAACAGTATGCCGCTGAAAATATAGTAAGTATTAAATGTGATTTATTCACAAAATTTCCTACGGATTTTACGCCGTCGAAACACTAAATAAAACACTGTGCAGTAGTCGCACATCGCCACCGCGCTAGTGTTGGTGAGCCAAATCACCGAACCTTGCAGCTGTGTGCGTTAATTTGTCAGCCAGTTTTCGCCAGCCCATTTAGGTGTTTGTGTGCGTGCGAATACAGGCACAAAACAACTTTTACGTAGGTAAATATGTGTTTGTGTGTGTCTGTTCGTACATTTTATTTGCTCGCTGTGTTCTCGCTATTTTTTGTTCTCCATAAGAAATTTGTTTTTGAAAAAGCACATAAGTAAATATGCAAAGGCGAAAGTGTATACGCCTATGTGAACACCACGCGGTTGACGTCTGGCCCACGCATAGTCACGGCGAACACTAACACCACTGCACCGGCGGTCATCCGGTATGCGCTGCGTGACACTCAGCCATCAGCTATCGACCATTTTGGAAATATTCTTTACTTTTACGGTTTTAATTCTATTTCGCCGCTGATTGTTGTTGTGTTGAGTGTCAGTGTTTTCGCACCCCATATCATTTCACGTCGCGTTGGCAACACACAGTCAACAGTTTCGCCTTTGCGACTCTTTCATTTAATCGTTCGTTTAATTGCGCTCGTGTGTGTGTTTGTGTGCGTGCAGTAGAATGCATATTCGCTTGTATGTACATATGTATGTATGCATGTATGTTGGTGCGCACAATTTATCGGCTATGTGTGCGTTGAAAAATTAAGCGCACTCAGTTCCTCTCCACATCGTTCGTTCCAGTCCCCTTTCGTTCCACCGTCGCCAGTCGTGCCAGCCGCAGTCGCTGCTGCCCAGTTCGTGTGTTTTGCGTTCTATCTCACATTTACAGCTACATAAGCACATGCATACTCTCGTATATATAATATATGTATGTATGTATGTATGTATGTTGGTTTTTAAGCACTCACATAGGCATGTGTTCAGCCGATCCGCCGTATAAGTGAGTGTGTGCGTGCGTGTGTTTGCATTTGCTTGGCCTGCTTGTCGTTTCTATGCCTTTTCGGCCGGTTGACTGACTGGCTGGCAGAATTTGACTTTTATTTGCCTCCATTTGACTGCAATTCAGAACGATTTTTTGTATGCAAGCTCCGTAGCACTACGCTCATGCTGATGTGTGTGTGTGGGTGTATATATTTTTGTAACTCTACAGCGAAATTCGTTGTGCCTGAAATTCGAACACAAAATTCGGCTTTTACAATGCAACAATCTATACACACACACTGCTATATATACATATGTATATATATGGACGTATAGTATATACATATGTACGTGTCGCTTTGTATGTATGTCAACGCATACCAACACACAAATGTACGGTCTCCTTTGACTACTCAACACACAGTGTGGGGGGAACTTTACCAGTTGAGTCTCTTTATTTTTAGATCGCACACTCTTCGCCATGCACACATTCACACTCGTGCGTACCAAACTGGTTCCGGTCTTGCTGGTTGGGGATAATGAAACTGGCAATGCAACAAGCTTTGTAGGATGAAATAGCATTGCTCTGTGTAGTGGTGTTGGTGGCCAAGTTGAATTATTTCGGTTATTGTATAAATGCATACAAATGCAATTGAAACTGGCTTCCATAAATGTGCACTTGCCCGCGCATACATACAAATATGCATATATGTACATATGTATGAGTGTATAGTTGTGCCCCACAGCATACACATCCATTTCTACGGCAGCTTAGGCGTTGCAAGCGCAGATTAGAAAAGCATTGAATGCAAAATATCGCTGCCCAAAACTGCCTATTCACTTATGTACAAGTGCATTTATGTAAATGCTTGTATGTACATATGTCAGTATATATGTTAAGCTATGTTTATGCGCATATAACATTTAGATCTTCTTTTTTCAGTAACGCTTAAATAACAAACAAAATGCTCATTTAAGTGCAAAGTTTCATTTATGCACAAAATGTAAATCTTACCTGCTTCTTGAAACGAGTCTGCTTTTGTACTCCTCGTTAACGTAGTTACAGTACTATCTGTGTAATAGAGCACTGCCATATATTGGCAAGTTCCATTCAGGGTATTCTCTGTAGCATATATTTAAGCACAGAGTGTATCAGAGAGTTCATTAAATAATCTCAAACCTCTGCTAGATGCTGGATTGAGCTTCTCGTCGCATTTTTGATATAAATATTTGAATTCCCAGTACATAATGTACCGACGAACGAACGTCGATAGTGAAAATAATTATAAAAATAACTTTTTTTTACCACGATCATTATTTGAATATACTACGAACCATCGTCAATTGTTATTCTACGAGTTGGCAAAAAGACAGTTCAGCGATCACTCTTTATAATCGAAGTTTCGGCAAATTTAGACTATTGACGAATTGGTGTTAAAAATTTGAAGTAATTTCCAAGTATACCCGAAGTACATTGTTTCGCATTGATCTAGATTTTAACTGCCTATGGTTCTTTCAGTACTAACGACATCTAAGAGAACATTTTTACTAGCTTCTTGTATTTCATACCGCATAACTGTATAGTTATTTGCTAGCATACACAAAATTGTACTTAATGTGTTCATATTTTATTCACTTGAGTCGCAAGAGCAACTTTTGGCAACCCACCACATTAGTCTGTTCCGAAAACTACTGTTTCTTGCGCTAACCGGAACTTTAACGGATCACATTGTTGTGATCACTCATCCTGTTAAATGCGAACGTCATAAGAACTAATGTCTGAAAGATGCTTGTAACAAACTGCTATTAATTTGGTGCTATTTCCTATGTGAGGTTGATTTAAGGGATTATATACAGTTAGAAGGTCGAAAAAAAGTGATTTTTCCAAAACTTTTTCTGAGAAAACTTTTAAATTTATTGCTCCAAAAATGTATACACATATTATGGTATCTTGTGAAGCAGTTTTGTGTTCGCTTCAATGCTACGCTCCACACAGCTTCTTATTGTATCAAACAATTATTCCACTTCATCATCGGTGTTTCCTGTTGAAGGAGTCTGTGTTTGTCAACTTTCTTGCCTTGCTTTCAGTAAGTTAAATGCTATCTGTTCGTGAACGTGAAGAGAGTGCTGTAATCTTGTAAGCAAAAAAGCCAAGATGACTCTTCACGCGTAACACCACTTAAAGTGGAGAGCTTCGTTGAATTAAAAATGTAAAACTAGGTTGTCGGAATTCCTAACAGTCTCTTTTTATAACTACCACATTTTACATTTAAATTACTTAGCGAGGAGCGGTAAGAGTGTGCTGCATTTGTAATGTTCACTTGCAGATTTATATACAAATTCCGTTTGCTTGAGTTCAGCTAGAATATTATGAGTATCTCTTTAAACTGCTCATTTAAGGCAATGCTGTAAGTTGCTACAGAAATCTCTGTTCAAAAGG